TTTTAGGTTAGACAACAAATGATCAAATTAGGGAATTAGGAACACAAGGTTATGACCAAACACCATGGCTTAATCATACTTTAGCTAGAATCAATCCGTTAATCTAATTGAACTTGGGAACTTATTTGCTTGAGTTATTTCCTTTTTTCTTGTTTTATTTATTTTCTTTTTCATTTCTATTTTGTGTAAGGGAAACAAATTGGATCATTCAATCACCAATCCTCGTGGGATCGACCTCGCACTTACATATGCTATACTACCAAACGGCTCGTGCACTTGCGAGTATCACAAGTTGAGGATGCAGCTGAATCCATTTTGGTGCAGCTGAATCGAAGCAACAGCCAACGCTGGAAACCGTAAAAAATAGGCCATTTTTTACGTAATTTTTCGGAGCCTCGTTCGGGTGATTCCGGTGATCAAATCTTGCGATCCAGGTATGCTTTCTCATCATCTCAAGGTGTTATAGCTGCTGGTTGTATAGTTTAGGAGAAATTTCTGCGTTTTGAGATGTAAATAAGCGATGGAAGTTTTGGTCGGTTTCGGCATCCGATTCCGGCCACTTCCGTCGATTTTTTGAGGTAGGTCCAAGAACAAAAGTTGCTCCACTCTATGTGGTGATCATGTAGGTATAAGTCTTGACTGACGGTTTGGAGATTTTCGGATAACCAGAATTACTTTGGACACTTTTTGGTCAGTCCTTGAGTCCTAAAATCATCCTCACGTCGTCCTGAGCATGATGGTATACTCATATATGAATTTGGATATCATTTGATCGTTGATCGGATATCGGATATTATGCGTTATCCGGGTTCGATATGTTTGAATCGTTGGATCGACTTCATTTTCAAATATGTTGATCTAGGCACTTCTAGGATCGTATAGGAATTCACGGATCGAGAATCGGAGTCCCGAATACTCCACTTCAATAACTCAAAGTTTAGATAAACTATAACCGTCCGATTGTGCGATCATGAGTGATTCCATCGTTCAAATCGGACCAAACTTGCAGGATAGGTATAGTAATCTTAATTATATATATGCAAATTATATTGTCTATATTTCCACTTAAATTATCAAATAATTTTTTTGTAGAACAATAGTCTAATATGATGTTATCCAGAACAGCATCAAACACAATATAACTTAGTCAGACTATTTATCCGGAACAGCACCAAATACCTTATAATGTTATGGATAAACAGTCAGTACTCTCTAGAACATATTAATACTATCCGACAGAAATTAGTCAGTACAGTCCAACGTTCCAAACGAGCTCTAGTTAAACGTACCAAATGAGCCCAGAAACAAAACCGTGAGGGCAAACGGGGGCCCAAAGCGGACAATATCGTGTTACGGCAGAGCTGATCTGGGATGTGACATTTGCCGCGTTTGGGTTATGAATTGACTATTCATGTGACCGTAACGGGTTTAAGGGGGCAACTTACCACTATGGTAAACCCCTCGGTCATGAATTGAGTATTCTAGTTATCTATTGTACACATATTATGATATTTTAATAAAGGCTTAATATCACAAAACGTCCTTAAGGTTTACAAAACTATCATATTGCATCCTTAATATTTTTTTTTTTTTTTGGTATCATTCGTGGTCCTCAAGTTTAGGATGTGTGATCACAAATGGTCCATGCCCTTAGGTTCCATCAAAAACTCTGTTAGTTTACTGACGTGACATATATATATATCACAAAACATCCCTAAGGTTCACACACCTATCACAAATGGTCCCTATGAAATTTTTTAATTTTTTAATTTAAAATTCATAAAATTTTGGTTTTCTTTTTTAAATTATTTAAAAGTATGTATTGTATTTAAATACACGTGACACTATATTTTTGAAGATGTGGGCTCCACATATATGCCACATCAACAAACTAATGAAGTTTTTTTAAAATAATTTAAAATTCATAAAATTTAAAAATGAAAAAACCATTTATAGAAGAATTTTAACCTTGAGGACCATTTATGAACCCTAAACCATTCGTTTTTTCATTTTTAAGTTCTATGAATTTTAAATTATTTTTAAAATATTTCATTAGAGTTGTTGAAGTGACATATATGTGGAACCCACATCTCCAATAATATATAGTGTCACTTGTGTTTAAAATACAATATATATTTTTAAATAATTTAAAATTTATAAAATTTTAAAAAGAAAATCAAAATTTTAAGAATTTTAAATCAATTTTAAAAAAAAAATTTGCAGGGACCATTTGTGATATATGCCACGTAAGGAAACTAACGGAGTTTTTTATGAAACCTAATGGCAAAGACCATTTGTGATCGCACATACTAACCTTAAGGTTCACGAATGACACAAAAAAACATTAAGGATGCAATTTGATAGTTTTGTAAACCTTAGGGACGTTTTGTGATATTAAACCTTTAATAAAATATATTTTCCACACAAAAAAAGGGTTTATTATAAATAAACCCAATCCTAGACATGTATTTATAAAAAAAAACCCACACACTATTTAAACATAGAAACACACCCAAAATCAACCCCAAAATCAACAATTGTATATTTTTTGGGTGTGTTTATAAATGGATTTTGAGTGTGTGTAATGATGGATTTTGGGTGTGTTTATAAAGTGTTTTGGGTGTTGAGTTTTTTTATAATTTCAGCCCCTATTTTGGGTGTTTTAGTGAAACTCCCAAAAAAAAACCCCACGACCCGGTTTTCAGCGGGAAGAGCCAAGTGTAATACCCGAGCATACCACGGTCGGTGATTTTATCGGAAGGATGCACACAAAATTAATACAACTGTTGGCTCCATTTCGCGCACATTGCCGTTTTGATCTTTTTCAATAGCAAACCACCACCGCCTGGTAGAAACATTCAACACCCGCCACGGACCTCAGGCTCGTTTCCGGCGATCCATCTGAATCTCCGATCTTAACAGGCCTGTACCCTTTATTCAATTGATCTCAGATCGTTCAAATTATTATCATAGTTGCACAATTCAATCTCCTAATTTTGATCGATTTAGGGCTTTATTTTGATTCATTTGTAAATTGTATGATGGTTGAATGCAGAGAGAAATTTAGGGAAAGATGAGTGACGTATTTGAAGGGTACGAGCGCCAATACAGTGGGCTCTCTGCCAACCTCACCAAAAAGTGTACGGTAGCTGGTGCTCTTGATGGAGGTTCAATTCCCACTCTTTCTTATTTGGTTTCTATTTTTCGTACATGTGATTTTTATATGTAGCTACCCCGAATTTAGATGATTTAGTTTGTATTTAATTGTGCCGGCGGCATGGATTTTATGGATAAAGTTTCAGTCTTTTTGTTTAAGCATAGGTATCCCAAACCTGGTGGAGGATCTTAATGTATGTCTGGAATTTGCCTTAATTGTGCGACAACTGACTTCTCGGTTTTGGTTGGTGGGGGATATGTGTTTACCTGATCACTAGACTGTTAATTTGAGATGATGCTAAGTTGCTAACATAAATGATGCTTCTTTATTTGAGGTTGAAAACTTAGTAGTAGCTCTAGGTTTAGTGATCTTGAAAGATGTTGGAAATCATTAGGCTGATAGAGCTCCACTGGTTTGAAGAATCTTATGCTTAATGTATTAAAATGGTTGTTTGAAAGTAGACTTTGCCTATGATTTATTGACCAAGAGGAAAAAACAAGAAAGAGAGTGGATGGGATCTGGTATTGCACATTACTTGTATGTCTACTCTAAGATTGGGCCAATTTATACTCTTAAAATTTTCAACAATTGAATGCCATTGAAATGGATGGGAGACTAATCCATTCTGACTTTTTGGATGTTGAGTATTGTAGCAACACCCGCCATAAGTAGTGGATTGGAGTGTTGCAGGTACAAAAATACAAAGAAAAAGGTTTTTAAGTCATTTCATGCAATGATGAACTTAAGAATAATATTTCCAATTTTGCTCGTTGTGGGTTTATACATGCTTATAATCAGGTTTTGCTTCTTCTTTAATCTGCAGAGCAAAAGAAGCAAAAGATTTCTGAAATAAAGGCTGGAATTGATGATGCAGAATCTTTGGTAATTAGTTAAACTTCTCTCCTTGGGAGGATTAGTTTCTGTTATTTCCTTTTACTTTTTATTAAATGGAATGTTTCTCAAAAAATTTCAGATCCGGAAAATGGACCTCGAGGCAAGAAGTTTGCCACCAAATATTAAAGCTGTGCTTCTTGCTAAGTTGAGGGAATATAAATCAGATCTGAATAATCTGAAAAGCGAAGTTAAGAGACTTGTATCTGGTAACTCATATTCATCTGCCCGAGATGAGTTGTTGGAATCAGGCATGGCTGATACTCTGACGGTATGTTTAGATCCTAATAGCTAATTTTTATGTTTCTAATAGTTATTAAATATATGTGTGATTCATTACGTAGTAGTGAGTTTGTGAGGAAGAATACACTTTGGTGAGCAAATCAGTCAGTGAACATTCTCATCAATTTCTGGTTTGAGTTGATGGCCACTTGCTTATTGGAAACAAAGATGCTCCATAGAAGCATCCTTGTGCGTGATTGTGTCTCTACTTTCTATTACATATAAGAAGTGCAGAAAGAATGTGTGTGAGATTCTTTGAAATTCGTTTCACTAAGCACTTCTGTCATAATTGTTAGTTTTTCCTCTATTATGACGTATGATGAGACTAGTGTGTGCATTCCAGAGCTTTGTATTTGGTGCACTAAACATCCATGACTGTTTCAACCCTTCTGCTCTGAAAGCTCATCCTTTCTTGAATTTTGGATAACTTGTTTGCCACTACTAACTGATGCAAATGCAATAGGCATCAGCTGATCAAAGAGGAAGGCTAATGATGTCAACAGAGAGATTAAACAAGTCTAGTGATAGAGTTAAGGACAGTAGAAGAACCATGCTGGAAACAGAAGAGCTTGGTGTTTCAATCCTTCAAGATCTGCATTCACAGAGACAGTCTCTGTTACATGCAAATAACACGGTAATTATCTTTTCAGGCTTTATATTCATTTTAGGGTCGATTAACTATCAATTTCATCTTTTTTCCCTTACGTTTGGTCAGTAGTATGCACACCTTCCCTTCCTTCTGAGTAATGTATGAGAATAATGAAATTACACCATTGTACTTCGTGCTTTTGGACGTACCACCTCTTGGACATGATTTACTCTTCATCTTCTTTTCATAGTTTTTAGTTTTAGTTTTCAGCAGTGAGCTATGGCTGTATGTATCCATTTACTTTACTAAAAATAAGTTTTTCGAAGCACAAAAGTTGTTGGTATAACTGTTTGCTATCAATGCAAGAACATATATGGCACCCTTGGACATAATTATTTGACTGTTTTCTTTCTATTGCAGCTTCATGGGGTGGATGACAACATAGGGAAAAGCAAGAGAGTTTTGACTTCCATGGCACGGAGGATGAGCAGGAACAAGTGGATTATTGGCAGTGTTATTGCCGTTCTTGTCATTGCCATCGCCTTGATCTTGTACTTCAAACTTAAATAGCCAAGACATTTTCTCTTGTTTGAGCTTGTGGGTGTTTCGAATGAACAGATTTTCATTTTCTTGTTTCTCCTTATTTTTCGAGTGTGCAAAATTGAGTTGTCAAGATGGAGATGCTTGATTGTGTAGTAATGGCAAAATATTGATACCTTTCGATTCTTTGCTGGTTGTATTCGCTTAAAAAGACATATGCTTTGCTTTCACCATGAGTGGGTTCATTACTCATTAAGTACAGTTAATCATATATCGGAAATTTTTTCCTTCTTCTCTATCTGAATAACTCCCATCTTACTCGAACTTGGGTGCAAAGAGACGGGCCTCACCATTCTGACCAACTAGCATAACTCACGTATCCCATCCTCCCATGTTACTAAGGGGGGTGTATTCAATTAAGATTTTAAAAGAGTTAATGGAGTTATAAAGTTTATAGAGTTCAATGTAGTTCAATTGATTTCTATCAACTCCACATAGAGTTTGATTGAATTCCTAGATTGATTTGGATGGTGTTTGTTAGAGTTTTATCATATATAGCTGTCGAAAGTGTTGAGGATCCTCATTCAGTACCTTATTTATATAATTGTACCCAATTGTAGAAATTGGGCGTCGAGCTAACGAACGTTCAATATGACCATCATGTATGAGAGCCATTAAAGCATTGAGCACTTGAGCTATTGCTTCTGTTGCCATCAACAATATCTTAATGGTTTCAGAATCATGCCCACATAAACTTTTTCTACCAGTTCAGCTCGAGTTATGGTCTCAACTGAATTATTATTTGCTTCAAACTCAGTTTTAGGTTTCTTTCTTGGAGGGAGCTTTTCTAATGGAGCTTCCAAATTCGTGTCTAGAAAAGGTGATGAAGTAAAATTACCAGACGACAAATCCAGAACTATGACGCATAAGTTGAGTAAAACTGTGATATCTTGTCTTAAACCATTTCAGACGACTCTGATATTGATGATAAGTTTTTTGGCATCCAAGTTTTGCATTAAGAACAGGAAGTATCTTGCTTTCTACTATTTGCTTGCTTAGCAAACCATTAGAATCGCGCCATCCACGGTTGGCAGCATCAACCATTAGTTCTAATAGCATATTGCTCTCTTTCGAGGTCCATGGGTTATAAGGTGTTTTTCCTTTTCCTTGTTGTGAATCTCCCATTTATAATGTTACTAGATAATACATGCAATCTTTAATTAGTTCATAAGAATATATATATATATATATATATATGAAGATAATTTTTTTCCTTTTTGTTTGGCATGGACTAGATATATATAGATATTGTACAAAACAAAGAAAAAAGGATGACTATAGATCGATGAAGAAGGTTGTGATGTACAGAAACCAACAAAAAAAAATTAACAGCAAATAAAAAAATAATAATAACAGCAAAAAAAATAATTATAATAACAGCAACCCTAAACCCTATATATGATAAAATAAAATAAAAAATAATAATAAGAGCAACCAAAAATGTGTTGATGTTCAACAATATGTACAGCAGCAAATATTTACAGCAACAAATATGTTGATGTTGATCTATATATGACGATGGCAACAACAACAACCATTCAAGCAATATGGTAATGTACATCGATTACATGCCACGTGAAGATTATATATACATCGATATATATATGCTATTGTTCATCGAAATATATGGTGATGTAGCAACAACAAATATTCAAACACACGATGAAAGATCATACATACATAAATCCACTTGACAAGCACACACGTTCAAGGACTGGAAAGCGTAGAGCATGTTCAAAGTTTCTAGGGTTGACATAAGATTTGTCAGGGCGTTTTTTATATATACTTACCACTTTAATTTCTAACGAAATCGGGCAACTTATTAATTCCTTCAAAATAAATTACTTTTTGAATACACCTAAATTTTGTTTGATTTTTAAAAAGTCATAATTGAATACACCTAGATTTCGATGTATTTTTTTATTATCAATTGAAATCTGAATGTTTGTATTTATACTTACCACTTTAATTTCTAACGAAATTGGGCAACTTATTAATTTCTTCAAAATAAATTACTTTTTGAATACACCTAAATTTTGTTTGACTTTTAAAAAGTCATAATTGAATACACCTTGATTTCGATGTATTTTTTTAATATCAATTGAAATCTGAATTGAATACACCCAAACTTTTACAAACTCTTTTAAAATCTAAATTGAATACACCCAGATTTCTAAACTTTTTTAAAATCTTAATTGAATACACCCCTAAGATAAAGAAAATAAAAAGTTGTTATGGGCTTCTCTGTACTTAAGTAAACGACTGAACAATTCCTTTGGTTTGGTCTATGTTACTCTTCTGTTTCTCCAAAGGTACAAACTTAAGCTGCCTCTTTCAGCCTCTCTTATGAGATGGCCAACCAACGCTGCCTTGGCATCGCTCCCCAACCGCCACCTCCGTTCGCTTATTCGAGCATGCACGCGCCAATGCTCTATCAACATGGGCAAGAAGCTTCACGCCGCCATTATCACCGGCGGCCTTGCCGCCATGCCAGACTCATTCCTTCACAATGCCCTCCTCCACTTCTACGCTGCCCATGGCAGTGCATGCTCTGCCCGCAAGCTGTTCGATGAAATTCCCAACTCGCACAAAGACGCTGTGGACTGGACCGTCCTGATGGGCTGCGTTTCCCGCCACGGCATGCCCCAAAGTGGGCTTCGTTTGTTTGTCGAAATGAGAAGAGAAAACGTGAGGGTGGACGACGTGGCCATGGCTTGCTTGTTCAATGCGTGTGCTCGGCTGGGCAACGTTGAGATTGGGGAGCAAGGGCATGGGTTTGTGATGAAGGTGGGTTTGGGTTCTAGTGTCAAGGCTTGCAATGGGGTCATGGATATGTATGTCAAGTGTGGCCTATTGGGTATGGCGAGACGGGTGTTTGAAGAGATGGGGGAGCGGAGCGTCGTGTCGTGGACTGTGATTTTGGATGGTGTGGTTAAATTGGAAGGTGTGGGAAGTGGGAGGATGGTGTTTGATAATATGCCTGAGAGGAATGAGGTTGCTTGGACGATTATGATTGTTGGTTATGTGAGTGTTGGGCTTATCCGTGAAGGCTTTTCTCTTCTTGAAGAAATGGTTTTTGGCTGTGGTTTGGGATTGAATTATGTCACACTCTGTTCATTTTTATCCGCTTCTGTGCAATCGGGAGATACGATGACAGGCCGTTGGGTTCATGCCTATGCTGTTAAGGCAGTGGGTAATGAGATTGATATCATGGTTGGCACAGCAGTGGTTGACATGTATGCAAAATGTGGTAGAGTAGACACTGCGTTGAAAGTTTTCGAGCACATGCACCAAAGGAATGAAGTGACCTGGAATGCTTTGCTTAGTGGGTTGGCAATGCATGGAAGGGGTAAACTTGTTCTGAATATGTTTCCTCAAATGCTCAAAGAAGCCAAGCCAGACGATTTAACCTTTACCGCTTTGTTGAGTGCTTGCAGCCACTCGGGCCTTGTTGAACAGGGTCGACATTACTTTGATAATCTTGAAGCATCATACGGTGTAACACCTAAGATAGAACACTATGCTTGTATGGTGGATCTTCTAGGTAGGGCTGGTCATTTAGAAGAGGCTGAAGTCTTGATTAAGAAAATGCCAATGCCTCCAAATGAGGTTGTTTTAGGTTCCCTTCTTGGTTCTTGCAGAGTCCACGGAAAGCTAAAGCTGGGCGAACGCGTTCTGCAAGAACTGGTTCGAGTGCATCCCCACAACACAGATCATCATGTCCTGCTTTCAAACATGTATGCTTTAGGTGGAAAGCAGGACAAGGCTAACTCACTGAGGCAGGATCTTAAGAACAGGGGTATAAGAAAGGTGCCTGGAATGAGTTCAGTTTATGTGGGTTGCCAAGTTCATCAGTTCAGTGCCGGAGATAAGTCACACCCGCAGACAATGGAGATTTACATGAAGTTGGATGAGATGATACAAAGGTTGAGATTGGCTGGTTATGTCCCAAATACTGCTTCTCAAGTTTTCTCTGGCGTTGACAGTAGAGATGATGATGCAGATAAGCTGGAGGAGATAGAGCAGGCATTGTTCTGCCACAGTGAAAAGCTGGCAGTCTGTTTTGGACTTATAAGCACAAGAGCTGGCTCACCTCTTTATATTTTCAAGAATCTGCGGATATGTGTAGACTGTCATTCTGCTATGAAAATAGTTTCTCATGTTTATAATCGAGAAATTGTAATCAGGGATCGGAATCGATTTCATTGTTTCAAGCAAGGTTCTTGTTCTTGCTCTGATTATTGGTGATGTGGTACACAGTACATAAATAATGCAAGTGGTGATTAATTAGATTTGTTTGGCCTGTTTGATGTCCTATTGAATGGAACTTTATGTCGTTTATTCATTATGCTTCTCCTTATTGGTCATTATGCTTGTAAAAATGCTAATTAAGGCTGTTTTTAAAATAAAGAACAACTGGAGATGCAGGGGATCGAACCCTGTACCTCCCGCATGCAAAGCGGGCGCTCTACCATTTGAGCTACATCCCCAATTTGCTAAATAAATTAATCATATTCTTATTTCACGGTATAGATGAAACAACAAATCGTAGCGCTCGCTTTGCATGCGAGAGGCACGGTTACTTGGAATATCAAGATGGTGGGCTTTCTTAAAGTTTTAATGCGCTTTATAGGAATATGTTTAGCCTATTCAATGAGTTGGGGATGTAGCTCAAATGGTAGAGCGCCCGCTTTGCATGCGGGAGGTACAGGGTTCGATCCCCTGCATCTCCACTTGTTTTTCTTTTTCCTTTGGTTTGTTTTTCTTTTTTTAGGTGAGACCCAAGGGTATCCACCGCCGACAGCAATGACTAATCCCTTTCGCCGCGGGAGCTCTCCCAAATTTGTTTTTCTTTTCAATCGCGTTGTGAAACTGGTAAATAGATACCCCATTTTTCCTAGGCAAATTTTGTAGAATCATTAAACTTAACTTTTTAGTCCCTATTTCTTTCTCATTACTAATTTCTTAGAACTTGGAACCTAATTGATACACAACAGAGCATGAAAACAGGGCAATCAAGATGGAAATGGGAAACAATTTGGCCATGGTCGGTTCACAATACAATGAATGAAGAACAACCTTTTACTCAGTCTTGTGGTGCCTTCAATGTGTCCTGCTACTCCTCACTTACTAGTTGCAGCAGTTCTTCTTTCTTTTCGTTCTTCAAGACATTCGAAAATTCAACATATGTTTGTACTTGGATTTTTCAATGAGTACGACTCACATGATTAATCAGACCACATTCTTGAGCTTCTCTGTTTTGAATTTGTCATAGTCTGCTAGCAGCCTGGCATTTATTTTCACATCGTCCATCGTCGTCTTCACAAGCTGTTCGCGGAAAACATTAATTGGCTAGAAAGATACTTGCCCTTATTTTCTAACTGTACTTGTATGGTATCTATTAGAGAAAATCAAATAGCCTAACACACTTTGGTTTTGAAGAACTAACCGTTTTTGTAATGTTTCGCATAACATCATCCGGGACCCAAGCAAGCAGAGGTGAAACAATGACGCTTATGTTGATATCAAATATGTTTCTAAGCCAGCTTTGTGCTCCTTGTCTTTCAGAGTATATGGTTCCTTTGATACTGAGGCTAAAATCACGTGGCTCATAATCTGAGGGCCCTAGGAGCTCCCATCTTGTCTAGAAAAAGGGAGAAAAAACAAACAAAGAAATGTGACCTTGGAAATGTCCCTCAAGTACATGAAACTAATTACCTATTGATTCTTTTCTTTTTTTTCCCCAATGGATTATGGCATGCTTACTTACAATGTCAATCTCAAGAACCTTGGAAATGTCCTGAGGAACATGAGAAGGGTAGTCTTTCCCCATCGATTTCATTCTTAACTTTACATATAGTATAAGGTAGATAGACAAGAACAAGACTTGCATGGCTGGCATTTGAATTCTCCACTCTTCCTGCATAATCACATGATACGTCCTTAAACCTAACCCCAGCTGATTAAGGGTGATAACAATTGAGAAAAAGTTCAAATTTGTGTAGAAATGCAGGAAAATAACAAGAAAAGAGAGCACTAGGCACCGCATTGAGTTGAGTTTTTTCCTCGTCCTGAAAAATTGCTTTAAAAACCCTTTGCTCATCCCCCAAATATTGATAAAATGAAGCCTGCAAATTAAAGTAGCATTCAAGCAAATTATGAATTATGCAAGAGCTTCAGTCTGTGAGAGAGAGAGAGATGAATAGTACCTTAGGGGACTCATAGAGAGGGACATCAATAGTATGTCTAAAGTAGAAGGTTAAAGGCTCCTTTTTCTTTGGCGGACTTGGATTAAACAAGGCCTTTACATGGCAAAGCCTGTCCTGCTTCTTCATCAGCTTACCCTTCAAATTTTCCGCTCCGGCATGCATGCCTCTACGAGGACAGAACAAGGGTTGGCAATGCCATACAGAAAAAAGACCAGCAGCAGCAACCTCACCCATCTTCCCTTTACCATATTGCAAACTAGTTTTCCTCTAGCTTAAGCTTTATATTAGACTTTTATGCAGCTAAGAAAAGAAAAAATATATAAATAAAAAAAGGAACAATTTAGTTCCATGGTGATAGGTGGTGGCCCTAGTATTTGATAGAGCAACGGAAGTAGAAATCATAATTACGGCACCTCAAAGCACACTTCCTAACCATGTGCAACTGTTTGCTCAAAATCAGCGTTTTCAACTCCACACGCAAGTAACTAACGAAATGCAGTTGCATACGCCTGTGTGGTCGACATCAGTATTTTCGTGTACTCAACCATGTGAGTGCTTGTTTCGTCTTGGAAACATGGGATTTTTAGAAGCCTATGCTTGCTACTGCAACACTGTCTTTTCAGTGTTTGAAAACACTGCCTCATTAACCCTAATGCAAAATGTTTGGAGATGAAATGGTTTTTAAAGGTAATTTTTGAATATGAAGCAGCATTAACTGAGGCCTTAGGTCTCAACCGGCAGAAAAACTGGTATATCATGGGGATATTTTGTTATCCCCAACTAATCACGTTCCGCCACACGTGATAACTATTCCACATGGCAGCACGTGATTGGTTGGGATAGCAAAATAGTGTCATCTCCACAACATGCAAGTTCTTCTCAAAACGGGGCATATGGTGCATTTGATGGGGTTGATGGAAGGGTGGTCTTTCATCAAAACAAGAAAGAGCGGTTCAAATAGCAGGATTGCTAAATTGCTACTTTATGCACGCGGTGGTGACTGATGAGGAGGACTAGGACAAAATTTCCATGTCCCATAACCAATCTGAAATGGGCCATTTTCTATCTCAAGGCTGAAAAGAGAACGGGTTTACAAATGTAATAATATTAATAATATATATTATCTTGGACAATCAGCCATCATAACTGAAATTCTTTAACATACATGCACTTACATCTGCTAGGAAGCTCATACATTAAAAGGTATCGGGTAATGCCTTTTCTTTGACAAAGCAAGATTTGAAATAGCCATGATGTGTATCTTATACATTCACCTAATATCATTCAATATACTCAAACTCTTAGTTTTTGGGAGTCTTCCTCATGTCAGTTTCAATTTGAACTTCTATGCCGAATATGGTATTCTTAGCGCCATCCTCTGAGCAAGCCACGGCCTTTCTGAATCTGGGTCAATGAAACCATGCTGGAGGAACTGGACTGCTTCCTCATCTAACAGTTCTCTAGCCCATGTCACTCGTTTTGATGGGCAACTCCCTGGTCCAAAACACCTGCAATTTTGATTGGATAATACAAGCTTATCAAATTCTGCTTCTAGTCACTCAGTCCAAAAGAAATTTTAGCTTTCAAAACAATAATCAGTACTTCAAGAAGTTCTTCTTACATCCAAGATCAGGAAAACAATGTGACAATCTTGAGAGAATATTATCTTCCAGAAAAGAAAAGCTTATACACTGAATCTATAAATGTTCCGAAAGAGGTTGAAGAAACCAATTAAAGTAGATCAAACATACGTCGCTTCTCAGTTCTGTTTAACTTTGCTTTTAGGTACTCCCAGGTTAACCATCTAAATTACTCTAGTCCATACCTATAGGAGTCTAATGTGAAAAGTTCTTAAGTTACATAAATTTTCTATTGCATATTTGGCGGTATTCACACCCGTACCATACTCGGAGCCAGATGGGACAGGGGAAAGAAATAATAACACATTTTTTTTACAGGGAGGCACTCTTGAGTTAAAGTACTAACAGATGAATCAAACATGTATACCTGTATTCATAAAAGCAAGCGCTTCTTTCATTCTCTGTTTTACTCCAATTATTCCAGCCAACATGTCTGATGCACCCATCCATAAATGTATACGCAAAGACCACTCTTCCAAAAGGTCCCCATGGCCGTCCCAGATATGCATAAGAAGTCCCTCCATTTCCAGTGATTACACATCTGCAACAATTCAACAAATTGTTCCTCAATGACCAGGCACTTCTCTTATTTTTCTTTTCTTTTTTTTCTTCGCTATTTTCGTTTACAAGATAGTGTGATACTTCTCCAGGAACAAAAGATAATTAAATGAAGTTATTCAATTGCTTACACAAGAAAGTTCAACATAGATGGACAAAGAATTAGTGAGCCACATACCTTAAGAATACATATCCTGTTGTCTCCTGGGAAGATTTCCTGCTTTGTGCAGTTATGAAGCCTGCTCCCTTGCAATGGATATGACAATGCTCCAGAAGAGCTGTGCTATTGCCGAAAATGAAGTCAACACTTCCCTCAACATAGCAATCTTTCAGATACTGCTTTCCATAATGCAAGTACAGGGTATCCTGTATTAAAATTAAAAGAACCCACTTATTACACTGATAACTCTCACTTATCAAATAGCTAGATTTTACACAGAGAAAGAAAACAATTACATTTTGTGCCCACCAAGAAATTTAAAAAGATGAATTAACTAAGATGAAGTATTCAGATATTCAGCATCAATCTGTTGTAAAAGATGTCTCGTGAAGTCTGATCTACAAAGTAACTAAATGGGAACAGTGGGTATACCTGCCATCCAAGGAACCTGCAATTATAGAAGGCACATCGATCAGCTGTTACTCTAATCGCCACAGCTTGGCCTGAACCCTACCAAACAAAAAGAGATAAGAAAAAGTTAAACACAATGTTGATAGTAAACCAAGTTCCCAAGAGTGAAATGAAGGAGAGAAGGGGAAATAAAGTTTAAGCATTTCCCACAGCCTATGTTTAAGCATTCCCCAATTTCTATAATGACAAAGATTTTGACTATTAGTAAAATTCAAAAGAAAAAAAAACTTTCAGAAACTTAACAAAGTATATTTGGATTGTGACAAATAGAGAAAAGAAGAGACATGAAATTGAAAAGTTTTAAAGTTTCTCTTGTTCAGATGATCCAATATGGAGATAAGCAGAGAGACTTTTAGATCTTCTTTTCCGCACTTCCATATTCTCTCCAAAAGTTAAGAAATTTGTATAGAGAACGAGAATTTTGTGTTGTATGATATGAACAATCCGGTTTTTCCCTAAATCCAAACGAGATGAAAAATGAAAAATCTTTTACCTTCTCATATTTTCCCTTCTTTCTATCATATCATTTATATTTTCTTCAGTCCCAACTAGAACTTCCAAAACTCGCTTAATCCGAATAAACTAGTAACTCCAACATTCATAACCCGCCATAGAGCAGAACCGAACCAAACCAAAACAATCATAAGAAAAAAACCAATTGGAGAACTTTCGAGTTACCACTGCACTGGTTCACATTACAAGTTTCAAAATGCAGAAAACCAAAATGCCGAAACTACACTAACATCGAAAAAGCAATCAAAAGATGCAGTCTTGAACAATAACAAATGAAATGGAACTAGGAACTGAAACAAAGTTTTACCTCGGGAGATGAGTTCTCAAAGGTGATGTTCTCGGCAATAAAGTCCTCTCCTTCCACAATAGTTGTCCCACACCCGAAAGTCCCAGTCCCAATCACACGAGAAGCCTACACAAAACCAACCCACAAAGTCAACAAACATACTCATTGGACACGTGTCCACACCCAAGTGAAAAGGTCACTACCTCACCTGGTGGTGCTCAATTTTGGTGGCGGTGTTGTTCCAGGTGAGCACAGTGAGCTCAGGAGCCAGACCAGCGAGAGTGATGAGATTCTTCGTCTTGGGTACGTACACGGGCTGCCTGTAGATGCCGGGAGAGACACGAATCAAAGTGCGACGCGTGTTGCAGAGAGGGACGGCATCTATGGCTTCCTGCACCGTCCGGTAGTCGCCGGAGCCGTCCTGTGCCACCCTTAGCAGAAAGGCTGCCATTCCTATTGATCTGGGCACTTTCTAAAACTGGGAAATTTTAAGTGCTTAATAGCTAGCAGAGGAGACTGTCTTTACTTGCATGTAGGTGGCGATGGAATCGATAGCTGAGATAAAACGCAGAGACGGTCCAGACGGACCGACAGTGACAGAAAACTCACTCAACCAGATAATGTTAAACTTTTAGCTTTGGAATCTTGTGTAGATTTTTTATCAAACTGTAGCCCACGAACCCGTTTTCTAATGGGCTATTGTTTGAAGAAACCCAAATAAGGCCTTGTTGTTGCTAATCATTTTTTGCTCTTATTGGACATAATTTTTCTTTGGATTTGCATAGTTTTCATGTATTACCTAACTCTTCGACCCCGTTTGGTTCATGTAAAAGGAATCTTGGGGATGGGAAATCAATTGCTTTCCCATGTTTGCTAAGTCAGGCATGGGAAATCGTTGCCTGACACATGGGAAAGTATGAGGGAAAGTGAAGCCTTCCTTTCTCCTTGGGTTTTACTTTCCTTTCCCATGGGATTAAGGCTAGCATTAAATACACTTTTTTTTTTACTAATTTGTCCTTACTAACAATTCATAATTACAGTTTTTATCCAACAACTATTGGTATTCTTTTTTATTTTTTTATATTCATATTTCTTTAATAGGGGTACAATTGAGAAACTAAACAAAATTTGTTTTCCATTCATACTCAAAACAAACATGGGAAAGGAAATAAAGTGATATTTCCGGGTTACTTTCTCGGCATTCCCAAACATGGGAAATGAATCACCATTTCCCATCCCTTGGGAAATGACAAGGGAAATGATTTCCCATCAAATCCGTTCCGTAAACCAAACGAGGCCTACGGGTCTTATTTTGGATGATGATAGATTAAACCAGGTATCGGCCCGAATTATTCTTTGTTAGTAAATAAAAAATTGATAAGGATAGGATCCTAAGCTCGGAAACTACTCATTTACCATCAAGTCTTTTTAACTAAACTCTTCCAACATTAAAAAGAAATCTAATAAGCCAATAAGGGTTCGATGAGTTTGTAAGAAGCGCTCTCTTTACTAGTAAGGCCTAAATTCTAGTTTCGTTGTCGACAATTTCTCCTTATGGGTGATCTGTAAAAACAAAGAAAGGGCTAAGACCCTCTCTATGAATCCTCAAAAAGACTTTGGTATGCCTGGCTCTGGAATGAGATAGTCTCCTCTTCCCCTAAACTTTTATTCAACAAAAAAAAAAATCTAATAGCAGGATAGCTAGTTGTACGCTTTTTTATTTTAACCTAATTTTCATCTCTGTAAAGTATTATTGATGAAAAGAGAGCTCCCAAATGTTGGTCAAAAGTTGGCCTACCACGTGTGAGTACCCCCAAGAAGTTACGGTCGGACGTTGTTTTCGCGGGAGAAAATGTCAACCGCCACACCCACATATATAGTTAGAGAATTAAGGAATATTTAATGCTTAATATATTCATTCATCTCCTCCTAATCACATTTGGATTTTGATCAAAACCTCAAAATGACGCGCTACTACACGTACTACACAGGGAGCGACGCCAACGATGACAGCGCGGACGTGTTCGAGGAGTATGATCCGACGCCATACGAGGGCGGGTACGATATGGCACTGACGTACGGCCGCCCTGTGGCCCCATCGGAGAGGACGTGCTACCGTCACTCCTCGGGAGAGAACCCCGAGGAGGACTACGATCAGCCCGAGTTCTCATCGTACCAGGAGCCGTCCGCGTACGACGAGGAGGCCGTGAATGAGGAGTATAGTAGCTACGCCAGGCCTTCGCAAGAGGGAGATCAATGCAATATTCAGAGGCAGAGCCGCGTCGAAGGGAGGAGAAGCGATTCTTATGATGATGAGGAGCCCACTCCTGCAGGAGAAGGGGGATATGGTCGCAAGAAATACGTAAGAAACAAGATCATCATAATTAATTAAACTTCATTTCATTTCACTTAATTTAATTGTGTTATATTTACGTAAATGCCATAATAGATATGCATATATGCATGCATGTGTTTGTTTTTAGTCGGTTAACTTATATGACGATGAAGTTGTAGTGATTTTAATTTAGTTGTTTACCCCTGCCTGCCTCCACATGCAGGCTACCTCGCCTGGAGGCACTCGATCATCTTGGTGGCCCGGATGTTGCACCAGCGAACAGGCAATTCAGTGACCGACGTATATGATTCTCCGGAGCATTCTGTTCTTCTTTTATTTATTTTATCGACAAAACAATTATTTATACTATTATAATGTACGGGGAGTGAAATCGAATTTAGGTTCAAAGGCGGAGACACTATTATAGTCAACTTCCTAGCCTGCGTATGCCATAGCATCCTGTTCTTATTCGGTTATTAATTTTCATCCCAAGTAATTATCATCTCTTGATTAACGCTTAATTTCCATCAATTATCAAGTTATATGATCATTCCTCCTGCATAATCCATGTTACTAATGTATATATGGTTCACTTTGGCTTTGTTAATTTTTTTTTAGTGATACAAACCCCTCCTTCCTTTCTTAGAGAATGTGTTAGTTATAGTCTTGAATTTTATTGGATTAACTACATTTTAGTCCCTAGATGTTTAGGGTCAGTATCGAAATGGGCCCCGAGATTTCAATTTCATCAATTTCATACCTGACGTATCCAAATATGACCAATTTTGCTCGTCCGTTAAATTGACCGTCTGGTCAAATGTTAAATGTTGATGTGTCAACTATGGGATCCGCCACAGACCCTGAAAACCCATTCCAACTAGTCCACGTGATGTAAAGAAAAAAAAAACACCAAAATAAAATAAAATTCCCCAGCTCTAGCCAGAACCAAATAACTCACTAGCCCTATAAGTTGTTGCTCCAAATCCATAATTACCTGAACCTAAAAAACCTAATTTGTCCAATCCAATCAAATTGAGCCACAAAAGGAGAGAAATAAAGTGAGGAGGATGGGGATGACGAAGAGAGGGGGAGAGGGAGGAAGAGAGAGAGAAATAGAGAGTGGGTCTAGGTAATTATGAGTTTTTTGGAGATGGGTTTAGGATTTGTAGTCAGTGAAGTGGTGGATAGTGTGATTTTTTTTCCTTTTTTTCTCTCTGATTTACTGGGAAAGTTTACTGTTTGGATATGAAATTATTGAGAATACTGGTAATTTTGTTCTTGAGTTTTTCTTAAACTTTTTGGAGGATGAGGACGGTAAATGGCCTTCGTAAAACTGCCCATGGTGTCCCTCCTGGTGTTGCCACATTCCACCACATTATTACCGCCTCAGTTGGCAACCATGAAACTTGAAGCTGTGAAGAGCTTTGTTGGTGTTTTGAGGTCAATCGGAGAGTGAGAATATATAGTCTTGAACCAGGAGGTCTTCCCATGGGTAAATGGCCTTTTGACTACTGATAAGCATTGCATTGACCGAACCGTGGATGATGTGCATTTCCATATTGAATCCACTGCGGAAGACGCTGCAAGAGATACAGCAAGAGGGTTGCTAATCATGATACGAAGCATCCATTGGTAATTGTAGCTAGGAGTTTCTGGGTTTTAGTTGGGGAGCCAGTCGGAGAGAAGGGATGGCTTGTGGAGGTCGACGAAGGGTGGGAGACTTGCTGGGATTTTTTGTTTTTTGTTTTTTGTTTTTTGGGTTTGAAAAAATATATATTTTAAAAATAAATTATTCTTTAATTTTATTTCAGAAATGCCCTTCACGTGGACTAGTTGGAATGGGTTGTCAGGGTCTGTGCGTGGTCCCACAGTTGACACATCAACAGTTAATGTTTGATCAGATGGTGAATCTAATAGACGGGGTGAATTGGTCATATTTGGATACATTGGATATGAAATTGATGAAATTGAAATCTCGGGGCCTATTTCAATACTGATCCTAAACCTCTAGAGACTAAAGTGTAGTTAATCCAATTTTATTTTAATAGATCTACTGTCACTTGAGACAATTACACAATGTTGTACTACGGTGAATATTAGAAGAAAAAAACAAAAAATTTAATATGGCCCACTACTGCCGAAAGCATTTGAAGGGCCCATTGAAATGACGATATGGCCCACTACTTTAATTTCGGATAATGATCCCATGCTTAGTAGGCCCAACTCTACCTTTGGGTTGAGCTTACTTCAATCTGTCCACCTGTCACTCAGCAAGAGGCAACGACATGACGCGGTTATCCCACGATGACGAGAAAATTGTCACCGACTTATAAATACAGATCACTCGGATCCAGGCTCCCTCGTCATTTTTGACAGTCATATTTCTCAGATCACAGAAATCTCAAAAGGATGCCGTACTACACAGCTGCCGGCGATGACGAAGTTCACGACTTCGACGAGTTCGATCCGACGCCGTACGGTGGCGGATTCGATTTGTTTCTGACCTACGGCCGTGCTCTCGAGCCGTCGGATGAGACCTGCTACCCTAACTCATCGCCGTCCGATGATTTCGATTATGAGCGGCCCCAATTTTCATCACACTCTGAGCCCTCTGCATATGCCGACGAGGCTCTCGACAACGAGTACAGCAGCTACGCCCGGCCCACGCACCGACCCGGACCCGCCATTGGGTTCACTCCAGGTGGAGGCGATCCCGAGGGAGAGCACGGAGGGAGGCCCCAACCGGCTTATGGGTTCCAGCCTGGCGGAGAGGATAGACCCGAGTATGGATCCGAGAGGCCCGATTCGGGTCATGGGTCTGGGTATGGTCGGAAGCCGGGGTATGAACAGCCCGGTTCGGATTATGGTTCTGGGAATCGACGGAGACCAGAGTCCGATGAGCCCAGTTCCGAGTATGGATCTGGGTATGGCCGAAAGCCCGAGTACGAGACGCCTGAACCCGAGTATGGATCTGGGTACGGGCGAAAGCCCGAGTACGAGACGCCTGAACCCGAATATGGATCTGGGTACGGGCGAAAGCCCGAGTACGAGGCTCCCGAATCCGAGCATGGATCTGGATATGGGCGAAAGCCTGAGTTCGAGGCACCAGGAGCTGGATTCGGGTCTGGGTATGATCGGAAGCCGAGTTATGGCGAGGAGCCTGGTTATGGAGATGAGCCGCCGAGAAAGCCAAGCTATGGGAGGCCCAGTTATGAGACCTCAGAAAGTGAGGAGAGGCCCAAGTATGAGAGTTCGGGTTATGGGAGGACTGAGTTTGAGAGACCTGGTTATGGCGAAGAGCCGCGGAGGAGACCTAGTTATGAGACCCCAGAAAGCGAGGAGAGGCCCAGCTATGGGAGGCCTGGCTACGGAGATGAGCCGCCGCCGCCAAGGCCCAGCTATGGGAGCCCTGGCTACGGAGATGAGCAGCCACCGCCGAGGCCCAGCTATGGCACGCCTGGCTACGGCGATGAGCCGCCACCACCGAGGCCCAGCTATGGGAGGCCCAGTTATGAGGGGGAGGAAAGCGCGGAGTATGAGAAGCCCAGTTATGGGAGGAGCGAGGAGCAGGAGTACCGCAGGCCTGGTGGTTATGAGAGGCGCGGTGATGATGATGAAGCTGAGCGTCCTAAGTATGGTTCTGGTGAGGAAGGCTATGGTCGCAAGAAATATGTGAGAACCTCGAGCTTTAAAACTCCTTTTTCTAATTATGTGTTTACATTAAGGCGTCTCTATGATATAAGTTTGAGTCATGTGGATTGTTGTTTGTTTGCTTGTCCATCTTCATGCATGCTGTTCATAATGTACGTAGCCCCATTTCCAGTGTGGCATTATATACATACAAATCATGGTATTTATAATGATCCTCTTTAGCTAATTTATCAATTTGAATTACGCATCATGGAAATCATCTTTTGCGTATGCATTGAGTAACTGTTTATATATTTGGTTGGAAAACATTTTTGGATTGATCTATTTGTATTGGCACTCATTTAGTATAAGATGAGAGCAGAGCTTATGTGATTAGCTCCAAACAATTCATGCGGTCAATCTTCATTACAGTATCACAAGTTAATAATTACATGCGTAAAATTTTAGGGGTTGTAGTTGCAATAATGAGTCAAAATATATCTTCCGGAGATACACATCTTGGTTTTGTTTTTCTGGTTTTCATCACCATTTGAATCCGAAAACATTTCTAATCCTTCTCAAGGCACAAACTTTTTTTCTCAAGCTCGAATCTCTGAAGGTGACTTTAGGTCTATGATGTTTCTATATCCTCCTCCTAATGCTCTGGCTAGTGGATCATTTGGATAAATTCTTGGTGAAAACTGTTTACTCTGTTGTAAGTTCAATGCTGTTGGTGAGGGAATCTAATAGATGCATGTAGTGTAGTAGCTGCGCCTCTGGTGAAAAGTGGTTTAAAAGTGTAGAACATGTACCTCTTTTTTGAACCCTGTTGGTTATTTTTATTTATTTTATCTGATTCTCTCAAATGAATATGGCAGGGAAATGACGACTCGGATGAGGATGAGGAGAAAAAACAACGTCGCCACAAGCACCACCACCGCAAGAGCTATGATGATGAATGATCATAATTCTTGTCCCTTAAGGGGATGCATGCCATAGCAATAGCTATAGCCATGCTTTGATGCTAAATAAAGGGTTTGGGCATGTATTTCCTTTGAGTGGTATTCTGTGTTACATGTTTGAGTAATCTAAGCTCTAAACTCAAATCTCAGGATGAGTGTGTGTTTGTGTGTTGACTTGTGGCTTCTAAATAAATGCCCAGACCTCTGGACTGGAGTGTCTTGTTACATGCGTTTATTTTAACGGATGATGAATATGCCTAGAAATGGTGTGTAATAAGAGTTATTATGGTGTGAAAAACATTCTAGATTATGTTAGTACATTGTGTTTGTACATTTTCAGTTTCTAGAGCCATGTGTGCCAATGTCATGCACAACGAGGAACCCGAAAAATAAAGTCACTTTCAGAATTAAGACTCAAAGAGTGTATGCACTAGAATCGGTTTCTAGCCCCTAACAGCTCAACTCTGCACTGAGATTATTTGGTATACGTAGGTTTGTATGATAATCAGTCATGACTTGGATTAAATTTGATTGTAAATGCAACTCATCTTAATTTAATCTAATCCCACGCATATCCTTCATCTTCAAGTCTTTCCACATTTCATTGTTCTTTAGGCTCCATAACCACCAGAAAACAAGAACTGGTAATATGTGCCCCTGCTAATTGGAAGACTGATTGGATTCATTTCTGAGGAGAACATCAAAAACAGGATCGGTTAACTGCGGGACGACCAGGGCGGACAGAGCATTTGATGTTAAACCTTATGCTCCCACCCAACTGCATCCGGGAGTCTTACTAGCACCGTTAACCATCATGGTTTGCCTCATAGCATTTGCTTCCGCAGTCCTTCCAGCAGCAACATAAATATCACGAAGGAGAATATAGTAGCCACCTTCATCTGGCTTCAACTCTAACAGCCTCTTCACAACCCTCTCGCCCATATCAGCATCACCATAAGTTCTGCACGCTGTGAGGAGCGTTCCCCAAACGACATCATTGCCTGGAACTGGCATACTGCTAATCAAATTGTATGCTTCCTCCAACCGCCCTGCCTTGCCTAACATATCTACCACACACCCGTAATGCTCAATTTGTGCCTTGATTCCGTAGTCTTTTTGCATTCTATCAAATAGCCAGAGCCCTTCGTCTACCAATCCCTTGTGTGTATAAGCAACTAAAAGGGCTAGAAACGTGACCCCGTCTGGAGGAAAACCGGCACTAATCATACTCTCGAACAAACCGAATGCATCATCAGCATTGCCATGGTTTGCACAAGCTGAAATCATCGAATTCCAAGTGACCAAGCTCGTCTGGTTCATCTTATTGAATACTTGCCACGCTCGATCCATGCATCCACACTTTGCATACATGTCAATTAGCGCATTGCAAAGTGAAACCATCCATGCAAACCCATTCTCATCAATATATTGGTGGATGCATATCCCCGTTTGCACATCTTTCCAATCCGTGCAAGCTGAGATCACACTCACCATGGTGACCTCGTCGGGTCTCACTCCCGCCCGATTCATCTCCCAAAACAACTCAAGCGCTTCCCTCGAATACTTTGCTTGCGAATAGGCAGAAATCATAGCGGTCCAAGAAACCACATCCCTCTCAGGCATCTCATCAAACACCTGCCGTGCAAAGTCCAATTCCCCCGCTCTCACATGCGCACTAACCAAACCCGACCACGAAACGACATCTGGAGCCACCGCCTCATCGAAAACTCGCCTTGCCGCAAGCGGTATCCCTCTCGCCCCGTATATATGAATCAATGCGTTCTGTACAAACAAATGTGAGCAAAACCCAAACTTTAACACGACCCCGTGAATCTCATCGGACGCCATTATCGAAGGCACATCAATTTTCATTCTTGACCGCGATTTCAGCAAAAATGTGAAGGTAAACTCATCTGGGCTGAGGCTGTTTAGCCTCATCTGGTTAAACAGAAGAACCGATTGCGAAGGCGACGAGCTTTTAGAGTAACCCCGGATGAGGGTATTGTACAAGAAGGTGGTTGGTTGGGGCATTTGACAGAACAGGCGGTGAGCGTAGTTTAAGTCACCGGAGGGTGAGACAGCGGCGAAGCGGAACAGCTTGGCGAAGACGATGGCGTGGTGGTGTAGGTTTGTGACGATTGAGCGGGCGTGGATTTGCTTGAGGTGTCTCATGGAGAGGCACTTCTGGGCCATGTAGCCCAGGCTGAAGCTCAGGCTTACTTGCCATTGTTGTTGCTCTGGCTGTAGCATAGGTTTATGGTCACTGACTCAATTGGTCTCACTCTTTTTAACGGTATTTTAAACTCTCTAATACTTTTTTTTAACTTCTCTGTCTCTTCCTTTCTTGGCTCGCTCTTGTTATTTCCCCTCAATGAATTTACAAATTTTCAATACTAATATTTCATTTTCATTTATATCATATATTATAGCTGATCTTTTCTTAAATAGTTTCCATAAAAAAATTCTTACAATCCATTTTATTGGTGGAAATTATCATCACCACCATTGCATGCTTAACAATTAAGAGCAAATGAAGTCCTTGAACAAAAAGATAGCAAATGAATTCATCAACATTTACATGTAAGTATTCAAAGTGGCTACAAAAGATCTTGATAAGCCAGTTTCAACAAAACAAACTAAAACTTTGATAGTATTCTTTTCTAGCAGCTAACCTCTCGGTGGAACAAACCACTGCGCAACATATAATTTGGCCTCGTAATACAGGGAAAAAGAATAGTGTGTATATAACTGCAGAACAAAAAGTAAAGGAAATAAGTACAAAGTGGAACTAGAGGAGCTTCTTCCTCTCAAAGAACATCTTGAGATGCCATAGTTGCAAACCGGCCACTGACAGGCAAACCAGAAGGGAAAGAAAGCTAAAAGTCGCCATCTTGGAGTTAGTTGATCTGTTAAGTTGTTGCATTTCTTCCTCCCTGAAACACCACAACCGAAAGGGGGAGAATTGAAAAGAAAAATGGGGAGAAAATGAACTTCATATATAACAAAACATGCTGGCTATTTCCATCAAAGAAATCTCAGCACAAATGGGGTCCAATATTCCGACTCAAATGACTTAATGATGTAAAAGCTTCTAAAATGTTGGATGACAAAAAATTGCAGACAGATCTACTTTCCTACTATTAACTGGCAAAAAATACTAAGGGGAGAAACACGTGGCTATACCTTTCACGAAGAAAAAACATCTCATCATGAATGGATGAGACAGTATCATATAATTTTGTCAGCTCAATTTCCATCGTCTAGCACAAGGAACAAAAGAAATATCAGAACAAGATATAAACCATATTATTATCAGTATGTTAGATATTTCTACAACAAATAAAAGACTAATTAATGTGAAACAGATTCACAAGGATATGTGATTTATTAGCATCTATCAGATGATTAGGCTGCTGCTCATTTTCCGTAATAAGAAAAAACAACTTAATATTTTTTTGTATACTGGATTTTGTAATTTTCATACTTCAAAACTGAATCCTATTGCTTTAAGAATTCTAACTCTACAAGGAAGAGCCTTTGAAGCCCACAAGAGACAGACTAATCATATTACATAGCAAATAGAAAACAAAAAGAGATCTTTCTGGTTTTTTCTTATTTGCTTGATATATTTTGTGAATCTAACAAGTCTGTACTTTATAAAGCATAGAAGAACCAAGTCTATGTTCATATTGGAATTCACAATGAAGGAATGAACACCAAACAAAAATGGAAATGCATATATATATATATAGATTAGTGCAAGCAGAAGAGTGCTTACTTCAATCTGCCCTTTCTTGGCAACCTTGGACCAGTCCTTAGCAGCAACTCCAGTTTTCCAGTCAAAATCAATGGTCACCGTGGTCGAGGGCTTATGATCAGACACCCAAAAGCAAGCTGAATAATCACCAGTCTCTGCCGCAGTAAACGCAAAATTACCCGATTCCACGTGATCCCCATAGTGATAATTACTTCCATAAGGTGAGGTCACCTGTTACAAACCCACAGCACCACCAGATCAAATCTCTAAACTGAGCACAAAAATCACACCTTTACAATAAATCAATGAACCCAATAAGAGAAATCTTTAAGAGGATGTATTGTTGCCAAAATCAATGCTTTGCTTTTCACCAAAAAAAATAAAATTCAGTGCTTTGCCTAAACATTAGCTTCACTGTGAATAAAAAGAAAAAACAAAGTTTAAAAATTTTCACATTAATCCCAAAACAGATTCCAAACAAGATTAAATAGAAAACCCAATTATAGAATTTGCAATAAAGGAAACCCAAATAATAGTTTTAGATGAATTTAGAAATAGAAACAGACCCACGTACAAAGACGGTTTGGGAATTACCCTGACAGTGACCTTATGAGAATCAGGTTTAGGAAAGCCCTCGTTGGGGTTAACGACGGAATACTTGCCCACCGTCATGGCACTGCTCTTTATGTCGTCTGAAATGCACTTGGTGGCGCCCGATTGAAGGTCGAAACGCATTGAATGCGCCATTGTTGACAATAACCCCAAAATCAAAATTCCAGAAAAATGGATATGGGACATTGTGTATAAAAAAACCGAGCCCTGGTGGCTCCAGATGAAAAATTGCAGTTTTGGTCGGAGTTTGAGCTTCTCTCCAAACGGTGAAGATCTGTTTTTGTTTGTTAACCACTGGGTTTCTAGGAGTAAACGATCTTTTGGTATTAATTTCCCGGGAACCAATGGTGTTTCGCCATGTCAGCTCGTGTGTGAGTTCCTTTAAATTTGTACTATTAGACCATCTTCAACCATGTTGGGGCTAAACTCAAATTTTCACCTTCCAAAATACAACTATTCATGTCTTTTTAGGACTCAAAATTTTTTTTCCTACAACCTTGCAGACTCATAATTTGAGTCCGCAACTTTATTAAATTGTTTAAGAATGATTAACCCTTAAATTTTTTTTCTTGTTAATTTTTCTTGACATTATTTTTGTTTCAAAATTTGAGTTTCCACCCAATGGGTTGGAGATGGTCTTAGTGCCCTCCCAAAATCAAATTTAGTTTGAAGGTTGCTAATGTCTTATTTTTGGCAAAGTAAATAAATTTCATACACACAATACCTTATGTTAAGGTTTGAACTTAGTCCACAGTACCAGTGGTCTTAGGTTTCGAACTCGCATTTTACTAGTGTGTGTGAAAAACTTCATTTCTTTTAATTTATATTATTGCTTGTATTTAAAAAAAAAATTAATTTAACATATGTATCTACACGTATGAAGTAAATTTGTTGTTATTATAGTTTGTGTTGGCTACTAGAGAAATTGAAAATTGGCATATTAGTTTTGGAAGATTAATTATGAATTTATGACCTGTTAAATTGATGCAATGTTATGATTATGATTGCATTTGTAATTGGCAAATGTTCCCATCTATTCTTGAATCGCATTTGGTTGCAAACGTGTTACGTGTACATCTTATGTCTTACCAAATCACACTATTTAAATCCTAATGCCAATTGTTTATAATCGTGGCCTCGATCAAATAGACAGTTCCACAAGCAACGACCTTACTTATTTGTTTAAACCAAGACAAAGACAGCTAAATCAACAATACCTCCACAATGTTTGAGATGTGGACGTGAGGGTGAGTAGTAATGTGGGGACTAATACTTTTGTCATTTCATTTGTCAAATAATGCAACCTAATATGGTAGTTTTAGTTTGGGCTCAAAAAAATGCGTGATTTCAGGCAGACATACATACATGCATGATTTTCTTTACCAACAACAACTCAGGATTTTCACTTTTTATATGCATTTAATATTTTTTGTTGAACCACTTTTATGTTTTTGGTTGGGAAAGGTTTATTCATTGAAGACAAAAGCCAGGAGCCAGCAGGACCGCAGAACTTTTTTTCTTTTTTTTTGTCATAAGACCGCAGAACCTCTAAACATGTAAATAACAGAGAAGCAAGACAAGACAGTGATGTATCAGACCCAAAAAAAAAAAGACAGTGATGTCTAAATAGGGAAGCTTTCCATTAATTAAGAATTTTAGATTGTGAAATTTGGTTAATGATTACCAGAAAACAAAGAAAAATTCTATATATGATATTGCAGACATAACATTTCCATATAGCACGTATTTTTTACGCGAATTTCCCATTTGACCAAATTAGCTGTACAAAAAGCAAAGCAAGAACACGCTTGCTCCAAAAATCATATCTTTATTATGCCATTGAGAGCTTCACTGTTGATCTGCAAATCCATTTTGCTCAGGGAGGAAGAAGATGAAGTTTGGAAAAGAGTTTGTGCCCCAAATGGTGCCAGAATGGCAAGAGGCTTACATGGACTACAACTCTCTCAAGCTTCTCTTGAAAGACATCTTGTGTTTTAGGCAGTGCAACAAAGTAACAACACCAATGGCATCAACTCCTGAAGGGTCATCGTTGAAGAGAAGGGTGTCTCTCTACAGAGCTTTTAGTGGGCTAACAAGCCGGCATCGAGGCTCTCCGAAGAAGAAAGAGGACGAAGAGATTCTTGTTAGTGAAGAAGGGGCAGAAGGGCAGTGGCAGACAATGTTTTTGATGTCCTCTGATGAAGGAGGAGACATTGAGGTTGTGTTTTTTAAGAGGCTTGATGAGGAGTTTAATAAAGTCATCAACTTTTACAAGAAGAAAGTTGGGGAAGTGGTGGATGAGGCAGAGGAGTTGAGCAGACAGATGGATGCTTTAATTGCTCTTAGGCTGAAGGTAGAGAATCCACTGGTGGAACTGGGAGGAACTGATGTGATAGACAGAGGAAGCAATGGGGTTTCCTCGCAATCAACTGTTCATCCGACTAGTGGCAGAAGGCCAGGTATCAAGCAAAAAATGTGAAATTTGTTGACTATTTTGTTTGTTTTCTCAGTGGAGTTCATGATTGGAACTTTTTATTATTTAAATTTCATCTATTTATATTCTCATGGATATTTCAAATATTGGTTCTGAATGTGAAGGAGGGCTTCAGATGGATGTGATTCCAGAAGTTGAGATGAGCAATGAAGGAGAAATGGAAGATGAAGAGAGAGGAAGCAAAGAATCAAAAACCAGTGACCAGAATATTAAGGGATTTAAACCACCTTCACTAGAGATCCTGGATCATGTAAAGATCAATGTGACACCTGAAACTCCGGTGTCAACAGTGAAAGGCATCCTCAAGAGTTCAAAACCAGACTTATCATTCAGCAAGAAAGAGTTGAGGAAAGCAGAAGAGCAAATGACAGAGGCTTTTAATGAGTTCTACCAAAAGCTTCGGCTTATAAAAAGTTACTGGTAACATGGCTGGCCTGACTACATTGCTAGAGCAAAAAGAAGTGTTTTCTTTCTTTTCCTTTTTACAGTGTGAATGTATTACTGATTATATTGCTAATGGATGTCACAGTTTCCTGAATCAATTGGCTTTTTCAAAGATCATGAAGAAATATGACAAGGTCCAATCACTTTGTTTCCAACTCATCAATTTGAACTTCAAGGTATTTGCTTTAGTCATACTAACTGTGTTAGTGCAGATCTCTTCAAGGAAAGCATCAAAGGCTTACTTGAATATGGTGGATAATTCTTATCTCGGAAGCTGTGATGAAGTAAGTTATATAGTTCATGAACTTATGGCCTACCATGAATCCAAATTCCAATCGATTCCTTGCCAAAAACTTTGCCTTATGATCCATCTTTTGCCTTCACAGGTTACTAGGATCATGGAAAGGGTGGAGGCTACGTTCATAAAGCACTTTACAAATGGAAATCGCAGAGAAGGAATGAAGACATTAAGACCAAGAGCCAGAAGGGAAAAGCATAGAAGTACATTTTTTTTGGGTAAGACTTGTGCTATCAGAAGCAAATATTATTTGTACTATTGAGATAATTAGTAAGTGGCATACATTGAAAAAAAAAACTTTCTAAGTTTCCATATTATGGAAGACCTTAAACGAGATATCAATGAATCATTTTACTGTTCCGTACCTGCAGGGTTGTTCTCTGGGGTCTCAATTGCACTTGTAGTAGCCATTATTGTGCTTATACATGCAAGAAATATCCTTAGGAGTGAAGGGCGTGGTCAGTACATGGAAAACATATTTCCTCTATACAGGTGAGTGCTTAATAATTATCTCATATCTATTTTTGTGGAGAAATTTAAACCTGAGTGGAAATTCGTTTCAAGATGTTCATTCATTTGCCCACTTAGTTTATGTGTTCAACTCATTCAGATTAACTTTAATCTATTGTTATGGCGATGCAGTAGCATCATGGAGTTTATTTCTTACATAAAATTTTGATGCACCTTTATGCAGCTTGTTTGGATTCATTGTCCTACATATGCTCATGTTCTCAGCAAACATATACTATTGGAGGCGATACCGAGTAAATTATCCATTTATTTTTGGCTTCCAGCGAGGGGCAGAGCTGGGTTACAGGCAGTTTTTCCTTCTCAGTTCAGGTCTTGCAATTCTCGCCTTGGCTGGTGTCCTCTCAAATTTGGATATGGAGATGGACCCAAGTACAAAAAGCTTCCGAGCTTTGACTGAATTAGTCCCTTTGGGCCTAGTCACTGTAAGAATTTAGACAATAATTAAACATGATGTATGAACCATTATAGTTTTTAAGTGAATTAGATTTTTGAATAAGATTGATATTACATTTGCAGGTTGTGCTTCTTATAATGTTTTGTCCTTTCAACATAATATATCGTTCCAGTCGATTTTTCCTCCTCCAATGTATATTCCATTGCCTTTGTGCTCCACTTTATAAGGTATCTAAAGTAAAATTTTCTTCCCGTTGACATGCTATTCAAACATACTGAAGTGCAAGACATTGAAAATTTTGTCTGTTTTTGTGGTAGGTTTCCCTCCCAGATTTTTTCTTGGCAGATCAGCTTACTAGCCAGGTACTAACACTTTGTTTAACATATTGATACTTGTCTTGCTTAGGATCGAGTAATGTTGTACAGTTTCATATAGTATGAAACTTCCTAATTAATATTGATATATTGATATTCTGGGATAGATAGTCTGCTCAAAAAAATCTTTGCATTCAGGTTCAAGCCTTCAGGAGTTTGGAATTCTATGTTTGCTATTATGGTTGGGGGGACTTCAAAAAAAGATCACACAACTGCCTTGACAGCCGTGTATATAGATCTTTCTACTTCATTGTAGCAATTATTCCTTATTGGATCCGTTCCCTTCAGGTATTCTGCAGTTGAAACATTCTTTATGCAGCAATAACACAATCACAACCTATTTAGGCTTCTTAGTCCTTGTGCCATTGACATATCTCAGGCACATGGAAGTATGGTTTTAACTGCTCTCTATTGTTGTAGTGCCTTCGACGCTTGATAGAGGAGAAAGATGGAATGCAAGGGTTAAATGGGCTGAAATACTTTTCAACAATTCTTGCAGTAGCCATGAGAACAAGTTTTGATCTGAAAAAGGGGATGAAGTGGAAAATCCTTGCTATAACTAGTTCAGTTGTGGCAACAATTGTTAGTACATATTGGGATATAGTCATAGATTGGGGTCTTTTGCGCCGGAATTCTAGAAACCCTTGGCTTAGAGATAAACTCCTCATATCAAACAAAAGTGTTTATTTTATAGCCATGGTAAGATCATAAGATGAATTCTTCTCCCATCACTGCCTTCCATTTTTTCCTTCTCATTTGACAGTACTTTTGAATAATGTGAACTGCAGGTGTTGAATGTTATACTGAGACTCGCTTGGATGCAGTCAGTATTAGGAATTAAAGAAGTGCCTTTTGTCCACAGAACAGCCTTAGTTGCAATAGTTGCCTGTTTAGAAATTATTCGTCGTGGCATTTGGAATTTCTTTCGGTATGTTAAACTTCTCTTCAATGTTTTAGCTGCCTAATAGCTGCACATCTATGTCATATGTGTTTCTGCATTGTGTCCTAGGTGCTTGTGTGACTATGAAGAACAGAGTGATGTAAATTGTTAGATTGAATGTAGGTGACCTAACTTAGTTGACAGTTCAGAAATTATCTTAAAGAGCCAAGTTGGTAGGACAGTACTGGAGTGCCTATCTTCCCTCTAACTTAACAAGTAAGAAGTGAGAATAATTGGCACAAAAATCTGCCAAATTGAGAACAGGGAAGGAGAGAAATAACTAGGAACAGGTTAAGATAACAATGTTATATTACTATTAATGCAATCATGGTTTCAAATTATTGTTTCCAACTGATAAGGATTTGATGTTTTACTGAGCAGGTTGGAGAATGAGCACTTGAACAATGTGGGAAAGTATCGGGCATTCAAGTCTGTACCCCTACCTTTCAACTATGACTGTGATGAGAGCAAGAGCAGATAAACCTGTATTCCATGGACAAAAGATGGGAAAAGTGAAAGTTATAGCTTCCTTTTTCTTTTTCTTTTTTTGCAAAGTAAAAATTCGGCAATAGGTAGAGGAATGAGCAGGGTTACGAATGTCATGAGAATCAGAGCAAACTTGTTGCTATTCATGACATATTAGCGTTCATGTGCTAATTGTTCTCTTGATTTTTGTTTGAAAGAGAGAACAAAAGGAAAAAATTGAAGAGTCATACTCAAGAATCTTGATGCCAAAGTGTTGAATACGACTAGAAGTAGAATCTACAACTGGAAGTTATTGAAACTGAAGTGAAATTACCCTATGTTGCTGGTTGATGTTTGTTCTATCAAGTGTTAAAAAGTATTTTCTACTTTAACAAAAATGTATGAAGCAGAGTTTGGGCCATAAAATGTGTGGATATAAGAGCATCCGCAATAGGCTCTTTAAACCACCTCCTTAGACAAATTTTAGGGAGGAATTGTAAAAATGCAACTCCAATCATGCTCCCTATCCACCTTCTAAAATAGGGAGTCCTCTAGGAGCTCCTAAATTTGAAGAGAGAGAAAGTACTCATAGTGGCTTCCTATAATTTAATGCTGTCTTATTTAATGAGTATTTCAAACCTTTATTTAATGTTAACTATTTTTTTTTTTTTTTTTTAATAGAGATGGACCAATCAAAAAAAAGTTATAACATTTATGACTCTCCAAATTAGGGAGTATGGGAGTCCTCTAGGAGCTCCTAAATCTGAAGAGAGAGAAAGTACTCATAGTGGCTCCCTATAATTTAATGCTGTCTTATTTAATGAGTATTTCAAACCTTTATTTAATGTTAACTATTTTTTATTTTATTTTTTAATAGAGATGGACCAATCAAAAAAAAGTTATAACATTTATGACTCTCCAAATTAGGGAGTATGGTTGGAGTTGAAATTTTTATAGAGCTCCTAAAATAGCTTTCTTATATTTTTAGCTAAATTTTAGCTAAGAAATAGAGAGCATCATTGCGGATGCTCTAAGAACTTAAAGGTTGCTATCCTGGGACCCTGTGAATGGAGTGAGCTCCTAGTGATTCCTAGAATGGAGACCGCCAAGTGGTCCAATGCCTTTCTTTTGTCTTCCGAGAAGAGGTGCATCGATAAATCAAACTGTCCTCTTTTGAGAGCAACTCATCCCGATGGCTGAAAATTCTTAAAAAAGATTCTGAAATTAATTGAAAAGGACCCAAGTAGCAGTGACATACATATCTTGTTACATCCTCATTCTCCAACCAAAAGGCTTCATTGCCTTTGATTTCTGAGACAATTTGCCTCATTGGAGATTTCAAAAAATTATTGTCTACTCTGCTATGCTCCAATGGAGGCAATAATAAGTGGACCAAAAAGAAGACCATATTCAGCCTCTAATGAACTTGCAGAACAGATCAACTTGTTCATCCACCTTCTCAAGTTTCAACTGATTTATGTAATGAGCAGAAGAAGAAAGGGTTCTATTGAAAGAATTAGTTAATTTGAAACGCATAGGAGGAAATTGATTTGCAAATTCCTCATAAAGGAAAAGTTGCGAAGGAAATTTTAAAAGCCTTCAACATGAGCAACACAGTAACCTGTTTTTCTATAAACTATCGAGCAAGATAGTTATTATATTGAGACTTTACAATATAAACACACCCAATAATGAAATCCTCTAATAGGAAACGTTTCAAGCTAAAACTATGATAAGTTTCTCCTATGGCTAAGATGGTACTGAGTTTCCAATTCAGAGCCTGTTTTCCAATTATTACGAGTGAAAAGAAGAATGTATGACAGAAGCCAATAAGATGAACACTACTATGTAGACAGGTCATCCTCTTGATCAGTCTCCTCTTCGCTGTGCAAGCTTGCTGCAGAATTTGAAGTAGAGTTCTCAGCTGTAACAGCACCAGTGCCCTCATCATCCTGGCTTCTATAGTGATTTGAAAGCGACCATGGATTGGAAGTGGAGCTTGCCTTCCGAAGGCCTCGAATGGCCCTCATTGCAGCAAGGGTTCCACGGTAAATATCCATGTTTGCCTCCTGGTTTGAAGGTGTCTCAGATGCAATATTTGCCGAATTATTGAATTCGGGGTTTGAATGACCTCTGTCTGGGGAAGTTTCATCTGGTGTGGGTGGGGTAGTTTCATCTGGTGGGGGTGGGGTAGCTTCAATGACTTCTGCTTCCAACGGGAAGAGGAGCTCCAGATTTGCCTCGCATTCACGGACTAGTCTTGTGAGAGGTTCTGTTATAAAGAAAGGCTGGCGAAGGGCAAGTTGTGTGAAAGGTAGACGCAACAATCCTCCGGTTCTTTTATCATACTTCTTTAGAATTTTGACGATCCCTATAGAAGCCACAAGACGGAACTGATTTTAGAAATAGACAACGAAGAAATAGAATGAAGAAATTCAGTGATGTTAACAGTTGTACCTGTACAATACAGGGAGCTATAAGTTTTTAGAAGAACCATCTCCCCACGAATGGTGAGACAGCCCTTACCAGCACAAGTTAAATACAGAAAAGAAAAAAAGTAGCTGCTGTACCTGCAAAATTCAACGAGCTATAATTTGTGAGAAGCACCATCTCCCCATGAATGGTGACGAAGTCCTTACGAATGTCCATCATTTCTTCACTGAATGAACTCTCTGATGTAAAAGCTCCACCCCTGCTGCTCTTTTCCTTAACTTGCTCGATTCTTCCTTTCAGCTCCTGTCATTATTGCAGTTTGTAGATGAAAACACACAAATGATAGTTGGTAATTGGTCCCTCGGTGTTCAAAATATGAAATTGCAACATGAAAACTATGCACATCACTCTACATTGACCCGTACATGGCTCTCATCTTGAAGATTTTCCCACCAGACACTTAAGAAGAATACATCAATAGGATTCAACCTAATACATGCAGAGAACCATGAAAAAACAACATCAAAGGAAAATGCATAGCTTCTCAAAATATTCTACAACTCTTTCCTGCTCTGTTACCATGAATCTATCTCAACAAATCGTTCCAGCCACAATCCTTTCAGGGGCAGATTGTTTCCTGCTGATCAGTTATCCTAAAAGAGTTCTAATTTGGATCGCCATGCTCCTAATAGTACAGCATCTATCTATAAATCACTTAACAAAAAGAAAAGATCAAAACTTTTTTTGTTGTTGGTAAATCCATCAACTACCCATGAAAATTAAACTCCATGTACATGTCTATGCACATGCAAATTCAAGAAAACAAGGAAAAAGAGTCAATCACAAGAACCTGGAAACGAATGACGAAATCTTCCTCCTTATCAACGTAGAAATCGTTCAACTTCTCAAGCTCCTCGTTGAGAATCCCAACGAACCAATTCTGGAGTCCAGCAAAAGGACGGAAGCCGCGGCCACCATCACCAGCGGCCGCAGCGTCGGCATCTGATGGCTGTTGCCGAAAGTTGAGATGGGAAGGGAGAGAATCGACGGCAGCGATGGCGGTGGCGGCGGGTAAGCGCTTGAGGAGCTTCTTCAGAAGCTTGTAACAGAGGAACTTGTCTCTCCACTCTGGGAGGGTCTCCTCCAAGTGGGTCCTGAACTCTTTCCCAAACTTCATGGCTTCAAGGAAGAGTGGTGCTTAGAGCTTCTGTATCTGTTCGATTGATTAGCTTAGCTCTCAGTCCTCTGCATAATGATGTTTTATTTTCGATTTGATATAAAAAGAGAATCCAATAAGGAAGTGTGAGGAGGAATTTGTAAGTGGGAAAGGTCAATTGTCCTCTCATGTGCATTCTTGTTGGTGTGGATTTTGGCTTTTTCTCTTTTCTTGATAACTATGGGCTTCGGCATTTTCCTCCTCTCACTAAAATCGACAGGTAGAATGTACCCGAGTTTTAGATTTTTCTTCTTGATTTTTATGTTGCTCATGTTGTTTCTAACTGTAATATTTCTTTCTTTGGTATAAAAATCCAATCAACACCTTGTTGGTTTTCCAATGACATATTCGGCAAATCCTCGCGCATATTCACAGCATTCGGGCATATTCATAGCATTCAGAATCTGAAGATGCGACTTGCATAGAAAAGGTGTCTGCACTCAATTGATAAATCCGTCCCATGACGACTTTGAACCAAATGCAAAAGTGGAATATGTTCACGTTTAGAATAGTTTAGATTATCGCTAATATTAAAAATAAACAAACAAAACAAAATTTAGGACCGTCCGAGAATAACATGGCTTTGTGATTTTATTACTATCCAAAGACCTTGGGAGAGCTTTATCCGCAAACAGGTCCCGGCTCGGAATGGTTGCACACGTTGCCACCATTTCTTTTTTTCATAAAAAAAAAAAATAAGACCTGATGATCAATCAACCATGGTTCATATTATATTCGTTGCCAAACATTTCTGCCATTCTAAATTCTCATTCAACTCAAATCATTCCAACAACAAAAACAACGCCAGCATCGTCAATATTGGAATGATGAGGAATTGGGAAGAGCAGTGGGAAAATAAAATTTTACAGAGTTTTGGCCCAAAATAGGATACTTATACTAATGCTTCATTTTATAGTAATTGACAAACCAAGTATTCGCACTCCTTCAAATGATTTGGTTAGCTATGAGCTGACTTACATCATTGTGGCCACAGATATATTTTATTGTATAACTTAAAAACTCTCCGCTTTCATGAAAAAAACTTGGTTGCAACGGGATAAGACTATTTTGCTATTTACGATCAATAATGCTATGTTACGTGAAAGTGTTATCACGTGCGTTATACCGTTATTGGCCGGAAATAGCAAAATAGTCAGTGATATTCCCATTTTCTCCACTTTCAGGTGTCCCATTGACATGAACATCTCACTGCTTCAATTCTTGTCCCAGTTTTAGCTAAATTGCATGTTTATAGATGACATCCTAGTCCAACTTATCAGTTATCCTTAAAGACTTGTTCTAACTTGGATCGCCATGGTGCTAATAGAACAGCATCTTCCTATAAATCACTTGACAAAAATAAAGATTGAAATTTTCTTGGTAACATCATAACATGCAAGCCAAATCCATCAACTGGAAAATAAAGAAAATAGAAAATGAGAGTATCCAATGAGAATGAACTGCTCAATATTGTATCGTCATCAAGCTTGGTTAACCCAAATGGGTTGTTACAGCATATGTGAATGTAAAGAAAAGGCCAGGTGTCCACATGGAATCGCGCATGAGCTTAACAAACTTGTTCTATCTACAACCCTTCGCTTACACCAACAACGGTGTGTACAAAAATGGACCTTATTGAGCTGAGCAACTAATGGACTAATGCGTAAGTGTTGGGCTGGAAGTTGGCATCCTAACAGCTACAGCCCGCAGTGTCGGCATCTGACGGCTGTTGCTGAGAGTTGAAATTATGAGGGAGAGAATCGGCGGCAGCTGCGGTGGTGGTGGGGGGTAAGTGATTGACGAGCTCTTTCAAACGCTTGTAAGAGACGAACTTGTCTCTCCAGTCAGGGAGGGTCCTGATCCTGAACTCTTTCCCAAATTTCATGGCTTCGAGGAAGTGTGGTGCTTAGTGCTTCTGTTTGATTTACAGAATATGTTGATTTTCTGATGTAATTATATATGGAAGCTGCAAATCCCCAATGTAATCATTCTTTGTTAGTTTAAAATCCAATCAATAATTGGGTTGGCTTTGGAAAATCCTAAGGCATCTTCACAGCATCCAATTGATAAATCCGTTACCAGGTCAACGTTGAACCAAGGTGAAAAAAATGGAATATGCTCAAATCTCTGACTCGTGAAAATTTGGGAGCTTTAGGCCATCTCCAACCCAAGAGGCTAAACCCAAAACCTCTTCCAACTCAAGAAAATGAAGAGGCCAAATTTTGGGAAAATCCAAATTTGGACCCAAATATCAGTCCAAGTATTGCCTGGACTCAAAACTATTCGGTGGAGCCCACTGCATCTGAAGGTGAAAATTTGGGAGCTTTAGGCCATCTCCAACCCAAGAGGCTAAACCCAAAACCTCTTCCAACTCAAGAAAATGAAGAGGTCAAATTTTGGGAAAATCCAAATTTGGACCCAAATATCAATCCAAGTATTGCCTGGACTCAAAACTATTCGGTGGAGCCCACTGCATCTGAAACAACCCCCATATGCAAAGCATCTGACGTGGGCCCCAACTCCTGTTGTGCTGCTGCTTTTTTTTGGCTTGTCACACCACATGTCAAGCTGCTGTGAAGTTGCCGTTAGAATCCAACGGCGAATTCCTTTTCTTTTTTTCTTTCTTTTTGTATAATGTAACTTAAATCAATGATTTAGATTAAATCTAAGCTATTTTAACGATTAAAAAAAAAGATCCAACAGCTGAAATTTAAATCCAACAGTCAAAATAATATTTTAAATTAATCTAAATCAGATCCAACCCCAAAACTCACTTCAAACTCTATAAATACTCAACCATTTCTCAATTAATCTAACCAAAAATATTTTTTCTATTTCTCAATTTATTTTTCCTTTGTCAATTTCATCAATCTCCTTTCATTCTCATACTTTTGATATCATTTCAAGCACATCATCTTCTTTTTTCTCATACTTTTCATATCATTTCAAGCTTTCAATGGATAACCGTAGAAATGCCATCTTTTCCTTTATGTTTGATGATGATTCAGATAATGAGAAACATCATCAGAGAGTGATACAAGCCATTGTCCACCATACTTCACTGGAGAGTTAAGCCACCAAACATGGTGAGTCGGTAGTCTATCGTGAGTACAAGAACCGTGAGAGGGAGGGCCAGAGCAAGAGCAAGACAATATGAGCTGAAGCCAAGCATTACATACGAGTACCACAAAGATAGGCAGACTCTTTCTGATTACATGATTCGTCATAATAGAGTTCGATCTCCACATGTGCATCAGAGTCTCCGACATGATTTGATCGATCACCTTTGGAGGAGCTTTGGAGATGGTGAATGAGGTCGACAATTGTATCAATCCTCTTTTTGTGTTTCAATTATCTTGTATGTTTTTTTTTTATGTTGTGTGTTTTCTTTTGGAATAAAATTATATTTGTGAAATTTCAATTTTTTTAAGTCAAATTGTTCAAAAACTTAAATTATGACATTATTTAAAAAGATTAAATGAAGAAAGTTTTTCATAAAAAAATATTCCATTTGGTTCATATCATATTCATTGCAAAACATTTCCGTCCTAAATTCTCATTAAACTCGAAGCATTCTAAAACACTAAAAAACAAAGCCAGCATCGTCTATATTGGAATGATGAGGAAATTGAAAGAGCAGTCGGAAAATAAAATTAGACAAAGTTTTGGGTCCGCCCATCCCAGAAACTGGACCAGAAAAGAGCAAATGGTGATCAAAACCAACTGAAGCAACAACACAACAATTGAGAAAGATAAACTAAACAGTAAACCGCATATTGGGTGGAGCTTGCTCTATATGGTCTCCAGGGCCTGCATTATGTCAGCCTTCAAATCTTCAAAGTCTTCGACTCCGAAGCTGAACCGGACCAAGTTATCCTTGATCCCGTATGTAATCCTCTCTGACTGGCTGAGATCCCTGTTTCAAAAGCATGAAAACACAGCATTCAGAAGAAATAAAGATAAAAATCATTCGGCTTTTTGCCATTGCTACATCTACTGCCCCAACTTAAACTAATCATTATCAATATCGATGTATAAGATTGCCATGGGGTTGCATCAACAAATAAACCCTTAAGAGAATTACAGTAAACATTAGCTTAAAGGATTTCCGTGCTACTTGGGTATGGGTACAAAATTAACTTTCCAGTAAAACCCTGAACTTGGCATCTTCGCACATCATCTAGAGTGAGGTTGGTATGCTGATATAACAAGATCACAAATCTACCCAGTTTCTCAGACTCCATGAAGAGACATTAATATTGTTACTTGGACAACTCAACCACATAGCATAAGAAATTTAACTTTTTAAGCCACCATATGATATAGAATCAAAGGGAATACCAGTAAGACATTATGGCTGGCTGATCCACAATGCTCTCACAACCACCAAAGGATGGGGCAATATATGGGATTCTCAGTGCATCCACGAATTTAATGGTTGTCATCAAGTCTCCATCAATCTGCATAATTGAAAAATATATAGTATTAACCCAATGACCATAATGAAAGCACACCAGAAATGGATTGCACCAACAATGTTCACCTCAAAACTGACAACACCACCAAAACCGGTCATCTGCCTCTTGGCAAGCTGATGTTCAGGATGACTCGGCAAGCCAGGATAATAGACATGCGCCACCTGCCAATGACATTTTTAATTACATCAGTTTTCAAATACAAAGCAGTTAATCCCAACAGAAACTTTTTGTACTATAACTTTTCCAACAACAATCACTCACTGATATTAGAAACGTTGGTTCTATTGAGTTTACCTCTCATTATTTAAAAATATTTCTAACACATATTACCTATTTACTGTTATGAAAAACTTACGAAATTTATACCTTAGGATGTGCCTCTAAAATTTTGGCCATCCTCGATGCTGTTGAATTCTGTTGCTGTACACGAAGATGCAATGTCTTCATGCCTCGAATGATCAGGTATGCAGCATTCTGTTAAGAGCACACACAAAAAATCTATTATTGTCACATATGCTCACAATTCATGTCACAGCCTTCAATCATCTAAGGGATAAGTGAGCAATCTTCAATCATCTAAGCAATCAGTGCGCAAGAAATCATTTGTCCAACTACCCTAACCAGTGTCTACAAAAATAGGTTGCAACCACAAACTACTAATCTAATCAACAGGCCCTG